ATTTGTAAGTTTCAATCAATAAATAATCCCCAGAAGATTGGAGGCCATACTGAGCTTAACAGTTAGTTAAGGTATATCGCTCACTTAATTAATTATGGTTTAATCAAAATTTTCAATCTTTGAATTATTTAAAACCAAGTTTCAGAAGAAGGCAAAAAATCATATTTATATCAGAAGTTAAATCATTTAAAATTCCAGAACATAAATGATGTACATTTTAGTTTCCAATTTTTGCTTCATGAAAAATTTCATTGACACGTTGATATAGATTTGACAATCCAAGTTAACAATGCTTGATACAACTGGAGCACAGGTGTATAGATAGGTAGACTATGCGAACTCACCTCATTTGTCTGAAGTATTGTCAGCTTACAAAAAATCAACACAAAAAGGATTTTTGTATATTTTTCAAAAATATTAGAAAATTAGAATACCTTTTTTTGTATAGAAATCCAAATGGAATGTCAATGTGCTAGAACTATAAAAAAAAAATTCTATGAACATTTTCAAATATTTGTCAAAATTAATGTTTTGAAAATGTTTTTAGATCACTGGTAAAGCTCAAATCGGCTTTGAAGTTCCAGGTCCGTTCGTACACTTACCTAGAGTTCTTCAAACTTTAATGTAAAATCTATAGTCGACCAGATCAATTGATCGCAGTTAGTACTCCACACAGGCTATTGTCTGTGAGTTGCTTGCCTTAAGTATAACCGTTCTAAGGTATTTATAAGTAATGCATACAGGTAGTGGTACCTGTAGGTTCGTCAAAGGTAGTTCTCCACATGGTCAGAAACCGGCACAGCATTTGTGTGTATTAGTGTGACCCTGAACTAGCACTGTCGATGATCACTTTTCAATACCTGTGGGATTTACGCCGGTTTTGTATTATTTATAACCCATACCTGCGAAATACTGGGTCTCTTCTAATTACTCTGTGCTAGCTCTTGACAGGTATTGTACCTGGTTCTAGGGTAAACTCGTTAAGGTATTGCAGTACAATGGCCACTCCAACAGGTAGGTGTTCTGATTCTAACTCTAACACTCTGTGTGGAACTTAACAATTGTGACGGTTCATAATGTTTGTAGTTAAAATTTTAGAGTTCAACAGTTGTCTTATAATAGCTCATTTAAACATTTAAGGGTAAATCTTCATTTGAATGCAGGTCGAGTGTTAATAATGGTAAAACAAATCAGGTGTGAAATTGTAATTATATATGACTTTGTATTGTATTTGGATAGATCAACTATGAATGAATATATACTTGGTCACATAATGTCTGGAGGCCTATAAAATAACCCAGAGTTTTGTGTATGCATGTACTCTGACCCAGTAACACATGTGTGTAGACTAACAGGTACATGTGTATACACATGTTCTGTGTAACATTAAGTAGAACATGTGTGCACATGTACCTTTAACCTTACCTGTGAGATGACTATATAGCTACAAGTACAAGATTTATAAATATTACCGTGAGCCGAGTTATAAATATTACCATTAGCCGAGTTTCTTCCCATGGTGAATTAATGATTCACTCCAGGGCTATCTAAATATTAACTTTAGCTGGTAACAGGGCATATGTACGTATACCTGGACCATAATTTTAATGATCCAAGTCCCTGTAATGTTTAAATTCCAGCAAATTTTAAAACTGAAAAACAAAACTGTTTGCAGTGTAATTTATTTGACAACTCGGTGAAAACGTATATTTTAAAGTTTGTTCTGTAATAGTTTCGGTCAGTTAGCTGTAATTTTGTAGGTACAAAACATTATTTTATGATAAATTATAGTGGGTGGTGCCTTGATATTTGCTAAGCTAGCTGTCATCACAGTTACATCAGGGGATCAGATGTTCCGTCTCTTGGTTGTTTAAAATTTACCTGTTAATCAAATTTGATTGAAATGAATTTTTAACCCCAAGCAAACCCCCCTCCCCCATCCAATACCCAGCCGTGACCCTCAAACCCTATGACATTTCGACATTCCTCCAACCCACTATAATACTACCCCCCCCCCCCCACACACACACACACACACACACACACTTTCTCTTCTCCCTACTGCATCTTTATAGTATCAATTTCAATTTATTATATCATTCCAAAAAATAAGGCTATTTAGGATTCTTGTTGTTTCTCAGAAAAATTGTGTACAAGTTTCAGTTTCGTTGAATCCTTTGATAATATTGAGATACGAGAAATTATTATATCGTTTTAATCCTTTGACCCCTATGTACCTTTAGTACACTGATCTGTATGAGCCCATTATGGTCTACAGTGGTGAAAGGGTTAGTGTTGATCAGTGTCCTGTTTAAAAACTGCAGTATAGTTACTGTTGCAACAAATCAAAATATCAAGGTTTTATCAAAATACATGCCTTAAATTTAAAATTAGTAGAGGAGTATTATTTAGGGATTAGCCGATTAGCCGTTTATTTTGTTACCTTTCGTAATAGCCTGTAAACTATACGATTGCGAAATGTGAGTTGACATATTTAAAACACTAATCTCAATGTCTGTACACGCAGATATTCATAGTCGGGATTGACTCTCGTGTGGGTGATGCTATAATTGTATTCAAGTTGGTTTTGTTAAATCTGTGTTAATACTATTGACAAATAAGACTTAATTAGGAGATGATTTCATTGTTATAAGTCTCCATGCCCTTTTATTTACTGCAGTGTATATATGGTTACTGTTAAAACCGGTCAAAAAAACTATTTTTCATTAAAACACTTGCAGTATAGATTTGGGGTTTAGCTGTTTTTTTGTTACCTTTCGCAATAACATGTTAATGATTATGAAATGTTGGTTGACTAATATAAGGCAGATCTCTCTCTCTGTGTCTGTATTCACACAGATGGTCCGGATCGATGCTTGTGTGGATGTAGCTATGATTAAATGATGATACACCACAGGTAACATCGTCAAATATGTATACAATGTATATATAGAAATGGGTAAATGTTTGTATTATGTGGCTGTAGCTATATCTAGTTATATACAGAAACATAGGTAGGGATATGATCAAGAGTATAGGCCAAACATACAAAAGATTGGTTTGTTTCCTGTTACATGTCTGGAAAAAATTAGTGTACTTGGTACTGTATTTTTTAACTCATTCACCCCTGAAGACACATTTGAACTCTTCCAATTCAAAGGTTGGAATAGTTCATTATGAAACTTCAGGGGTGAATGAGTTACATACGAAATGTTGGTGGGTACTTTCTCCTTCGTGGTTTGAAGCCAATAAGATTGTTTCATGGTACAAACTTTCATGGATATCCTTACTATTAACAAACATCAGACACGTATATCATCCAAATTTGTTTGTGTTTATGTTCTTGGATCAATAATAGCAACCACGAAAACCCAAATTTCTATAGCAGAGTTATCTTGACATTAATCCATTCACCCCTGAAATTTCACAATGAACTAATCCATCCTTTGAATTGGAAGAGTTCAAATGTGTCTTCAGGGGTGAATAAGTTAACAATATAAGTGTTTCCTTAAAAATAAGAAATAAAAAAAAGTTTAGGGAAGCCACACAAAATTAGGGTAAGTAAGGGTTATGAAAACAAACAACATCTTTTGATTTGGCCTTATAGAAATTAGTAATGGTGTTATAATTAAAGCTTGCCTTGTAATCAAATGGACATGGTTGTGTGTTAGCTCATTTACCTTTGAAATATCATGATGAGCTATTCCAACCTTTGAGTTGGAAGAGTTTAAATTTGTCTTCAGGGGTGAATAAGTTAAACAAGGGTGATATTTTCATAAAGAAAACATAGAAATTGATATCAATATACTGTAAACATACTTATTTTTTACGGATTCAAATTTCAACAGATTAGAAAAGCTTCACTCAGTAACTACTGTACTGGAGATCAATTATTTCTACCTGTGTGCAGTGTTCCACTGAAGGAATGTCAAATGTTATTATCCCCCGCTTTCACCGAAACGGGGGATATCAATTTGGGTTTGTCCGTCCGTCAGTCTGTCTGTCTGTCACGCTTCGTTTCAGTGCAATAACTGCAACAAATGTTAACCGATTTTCTTCAAACTGTATATATACAAATTCCACGAATTTGCTTGTTTTATCACATAATGTACTGTGTTATCCAGTGAACGTTCCTATGTCAGATTTATTTTGCATATTATAATAAATACCCATGTACTATGACCTATCAGCCCTGTGAGTGGTTGTATGTTTCAATTGTGACGTCACGCCAAGGACAAGTACATGACGTCACAAACTAACACACTGGAGTCAAAATGGCGGCATTTTACATTTCAAGGTCACATGAAAATTGTCGTTTTACAGAAATAAATGTTACAAATATTGATCATGTGATAAAAAGGATCTTACACTCATTTCATATAAAATTTATGAAACTCGTCACAATTTTTTTCATTTTAGCTCGCCAGAGGCTCTCTAAATTGAAAACAAACTTAGACTCGTTTCATAATTTAAATCTCATATGAAATAGAAACTTGTGTAGGATCCTATATGTATTGAATATATAAAATGTATTAAAAGTGTCAGTATTTTTTATCTCACTGATATTATACTATATACCGGGAAATTGTTGCCCGGTCCAACATTCGCCTGTGTCAGTAAAATCCAGTTTTAAGTTTGCCCTTCATATTTAATTGCTATTTATAATATGTTGTTTACAAATGTTCGCTGTAATGACAAATTCGCCCTCGTTGTGGAGGGTGCAGCCCTCATTATTGGGGAGGGTGAAAAAAGACAAGAATTAAACTGCAGTGAAATTTACTGGTCAAATTTTAGTATACATATTGACTAGTCATGTATAACTATTCAAATGAGCATGTTTTGTAATTTTACACAGACTTTAAAATTTACATTATAATAAATATCAAATTGGTCTATGTTAGTTCTATACTTTAAACCTCTAGGCTTCATTTCAATACGTATAAAAATGGCTTGTGTTTGTTAAAATATAATCAATGTTACGTATGTGTTTGGTTTGGCAGCCGATGTCCCCCAAAGAACTTTGGCAATGGGTCCACTATAGTTACGGAGAGGAGCTTGGTTTGACGTCGAGTGATGACGACTATGTGGCGCCACCTGCAGGAATCGAAGAGGCAGTGGAAGAGAACAGTAAGGTACGGATGAAACATGTCACATGGAATAGGGTAACTCACCCATGATTCAAGCATTTCTCTCATATTTTACAGGGCTTCTTTAGTATTTGCATTCTGTCCATCAGTCTGTCTGAAGAATTCCACGTAGAATAACCAGGTTTGGTGTGCAAGTACATATTGCGATATGGAGTGTCAAGTACAAAAAGTAGGTCGCTGTGACCTATAAGGTTTGATGTTTGACCTCAATCTATGGAAAAGGTTGTCTAGGGGGAATGTCTTCTATGCTATTTGACCTGGAGTAACAGATTTAGTATGCATGTACATCTTGGGAATGTAGAGTGTTGAGTCTAAAAAGTAGGTCACTGTGACATATGGTTTGATCGACCTTCAATGACCTCAACCTTTCAAAAAGTTTGTCTTCAGGCATATATTCAATACTATTTGACCTGAACTAACCAGATTTAGTGTGCAAGTACATCTTTGGATGATGGAGTATCAAGTACAAAAAGTAGGCCACTGTGACCTACCCTTGGTTTGATGTTTGACCTCAATTTTTGAAAACGTTTGTCTGGGCATATCTTCTATGCTACCTGACCTGGCGTTACCAGATCCGACATGCATGTCTTAGCTGACGAACTACTGAACAAAAGAAGTATGTCATTATGACATTTATTCTGAGATAGGTGTACTACAGCTCAGTAAATAAAGAAATCATTACTGATGGGGGACTATGGATTGCCTCTTAAGACTTTGCCTTGTCCACTAATGGAATAGGGCTAAAATTTTATCTTTAAGGAGTTAAGGATGGGATGGAGATATTTTAAAGGGATATAATATGTATTGGGCACATCGGGAAAGGAGCAAAATTGTGTCCCCCCCCCCCCCCAAAAAAAAAAGTTCACAACCAAAATTTCTTTCTTTTATTTTCTTGGCTAAAAGTATTAATTTTAATGAGTAAGTATCTTTGAATCAACAATTGTATAAGCTGTCACAGCGATGTTCAATTCCATTTGTAAGATGTATGATCAATCTTGTTGCTATGTTACGGCTATTAAAAACATGTTGCGCGTTCGCCCAGGTGAGGCAGGCAATGGATTCTGGCCCCGGGCAGGAACATACCAATGTCCTTAAAACTGGTAGTTTATGATGGTTGTTATTCCCTGCTTAACGATCAGCATTAAGGGGAATGGCAACAACTGGTTCACCCGTTGTCAGTATAATGGGACCGGATGGAATGCTGTCCAGGGGTGCCTTTGGCATGGTATTACAGTGAGATAGCACTATAAAGTCGGCATCAGATCCGCCGCTATCACAAGCAGGCAAGCACATCAACATACCCTGTGTCCTGCATACACACACGCAAGCACGCATACACTACACACATGGAGGCACGTCCTTTAAAATGACCTCGGCTGTTAATAGGAGGTTAAACAAAATTAAACCAAACCAAACTATTAAAAACAATTATTTTTACCTTGAAAATTAATATAATTGAGGCAAGTTGTATTTTTGTCAGAGGTCTCCATGTAAATCTTTCCTTTGTTATAATTTTGACCGAGTTTTCTAAATTTTGAGTTCCAGCTACAATTTTAGAGAAAATTTTGTATTCTCTTGTTTTTTTCGTTCATAACCTACTTGTAACTGATCTGTGTTTTTCAGTGTGAAAACACTGACTCGTCCGAGGTTGTCCCTGTCGGTGATATAGTGGACGAAGACATTGGTGAGGGAAAACCCCCAGAGGTACTGGACTTCACAAAGATGGACAAATCTCCTAACATGGCGTCACTAGATCTCCCGACAGATCAGAGTGATACAACGGACGAAAGCGAAGGTACAGTCCCCTTACGGACACATTCGAGAGTCACTGGTCAAGCACAATACGCCACAGTTTCTGGCCAAAATGGCTGGACATTAAATTATGTGAATTGGTAGATCATTTCAGATAACACAAACTTAAGACAATTGATCCTGTAGCGTTTAAACAGTAACCAGGACAACCACTGCCCGTCAAAGAATAAGATTCATGAGGCTTTTCTGTAACTTTACTCATTTGACCTCCTGAAACAGAGAGAAAAAATCACCATACTTGTGGATTTCTTGGACATTGGTTATTAAAAAGATTAAAATGTCTTTCTTTTGTGATGGTCTTGATGTATCAGAAAGAACAGCCCTCAGATGTGTCGATCATAGCAATCATNAAACAAACACTCAGTTTTAAAAATAAACGGTTATACTCAAAACTAAACACAAGTCTTCGAAGAATAAACGTCGGTTTAATCAATAAACGGTAACTCGTCAAATATAAACGATAATCCAAAAAATACACACAAAAAGAGAACAACTAAACGATTTTTGAAAATTAAACAAAAAAATGAAAAAAATACACGTTAAGGGTCCACCAGTGTATGGCATGGCACATAATCCAATTACATATTTTCAAAATTACCAAAACACTGAAGGAACACACTTCAACTTCTTGTCATACAGTGACAGTATGGCCTTGCACATTTTAAATTTCATTACATAATTTCCAAAAATTATCACAAAACTCAAGACATACATTTAATTTCTTGCTAGATATTTAATGAAAATTTCACGCCACCGGCATTCATGTCCCTCAAAGTTATGTATCAGCCATGAGGTTGCTGAAAAAAATATCTTAACTCTTTTAGTACTGTTGATGCTCTCTCTTTTTGACAAATTCTGAAATGTGTTGTCTGCTGGCACCATATGGTATAGATAATTATAAGACTCTTCCATGCCAAGGGGTGTAGGATAGGGAAATTTCACCTGAGGGTTTTCAAATTTTGTAAAACCTGAGGCTTTGCCAATTGAGTTTTGCCAAATTTGAAAATACTGATGGTGGAATTTCCCTATCCTACACCCTTGGGCATGAAAGAATTTTTTTCTTTCATTCCACCTACCAGAATAAGCTCAGAAATCATGAAAATCTGTTTGGGCTGGTTTCCATTTTGAAAATATCAATGTTTCCCCTCAGCTTTTTTGACGAAGATGAATTCTTCAGCGAGATTTATAGCATACCCCATATTTGCAAACAGTTTGTGCAGAGAGAAAAAAATCAGAGAAAAACAGTGTTTTGATGTTTTCTATGGTTAGACATGCTTAAATGAGCAACATGTACAAAAATATTTCACTTATCTTTATATTAACTCATTCACTCCAGAAGACACATTTGAACTCTTCCAATTCAAAGTTTGGAATAGTTCATTATGAAATTTCAGGGGTGAATGAATTAATGAGGATTATTATTGTGCTCAATGGTTTACAATTCCAATAGCCACCTGGCACTCAGATCTAGAGCTAGGTAGTAGATTTTAAGTTGGGGCAAGTAAATATTTACAATATAAACTATAAAAATATAATCACAGCAGAAAATGAGATTCAATGTCTGCTAATGAAGTTCTGCGTACCACAGCTGATGTATTCCTAAATGGGATTCACTAGTCTGGCCATAAGAGTAATAGAAATTCAAAAGAAGAGATGACCAGACAACTTAAGATAAGGCGTCTCTGCAAATTCAATCCAGTTTACATGTTTTGGCCATCATCAGAACAATGTACATGAATTTTACAAATATCAGTAGAAATGTAGTAGAACTTTTTAAAACAATGTGCAGGCTAGTATTCTATATATGAAATTGTTCACCACTGGTGACTTTTTATAACTGTTTGCTTGTGCGTTCCTGTAGTGTAACAAAACTTTGTGTTTCAGGAGAGGTGGTTTGTACGTCGGACCATAACCACTTCTGTAAACAAATGCTGTTTTCTGTGTACCATATCCAAGTGGAGAAGTTGTTTGATCTTCTGTATAACGACACTCCCTTCATACAAAGTGTTCATCAGTCTAAACGAAACAGTAGTAAGTATGCCCCTCTTTATACTGACACTGCCTTCATCCAAGTGTCCATCAGTCTAAACGAAACAATAGTTAGTATATGTATATCTGTCTTTATACCGACACTGCCTTCATCCTAAATGTCCATCAGTCTAAACCAAACAGTAGTAAGTATGCCCCTCTTTATACCGACACTGCCGTCATCCAAAGTGTTCATCAGTCTAAATATAACAGTAGTAAGTATGCCCCTCTTTATACCGACATTGCCTTCATCCAAAGTGTCCATCAGTCTAAACAAAACAGTAGTTAGTGTGCCCCTCTTTATACTGACACTGCCTTCATCCAAAGTGTCCATCTGTCTAAACGAAACAGTAATCAGTAATAAGTATGCCCCTCTTTATACCGACCCTGCCGTCATCCAAAGTGTTCATCAGTCTAAATATAACAGTAGTAAGTATGCCCCTCTTTATACCGACACTGCCTTCATCCAAAGTGTTCATCAGTCTAAACAAAACAGTAGTATGTATGCCCCTCTTTATACCGACATTGCCTTCATCCAAAGTGTCCATCAGTCTAAACAAAACAGTACTTAGGATATGTATATCTGTCTTATACCGACACTGTCTTCATCCAAAGTGTCCATCAGTCTAAACGAAACAGTAGTAAGTATGCCCCTCTTTATGCCGACACTGCCTTCATACTGAGTATCCATCTGTGCAAATGCAAAAACAGTTTCCCCCTTTTCTTCATCCAAAGTGTTGCATGTTGTCACATGTCTAAATGCAACAGTAGTAAGTAATTCAATCTTAATACCAACACTGCCTTCATCTGGAGACTGCACCTGTTTAAATGCATCAGTAGTTATCCCCTCTTTATACTGACACTGTCTTCATCCATGTCGGTGTCCCCACTCTAAATGCATCAGCATTGTATGTGCCAACCCTCTCTATGCCGACATTGTGCTTTCACCCAGAGTGTCTGCCTGAACAAGCTTAACCATCTGCACTATACTTTCAAAATATCTTTTTTATTTAATTCAACACGAGGTCAATAAGATAATTTCAATAGAACGTTTAAACTTTTGCACATTTCCCAGAGCCATATTTTATATTTACGTCAGAAAGGATTAAAATCTTCACAAATATTTTTACACCTTAGCACAGGAAATCCTAATGATCACCATTATGTATAGTTTAAAATTAACTTTGTTGATTCCTGTTTCAGACTTGGCTGTCTCTCCCTGGCAGGATGACACCAATGGATCGGGAAACAGACATCGGACTCTAAGCTACACAGTGGCACTTAATTATTCCATCGGACCGAAGTCTTCACACACATTTGAGAAACAAACACTGTATAAGTTGTCTAAGCCCGGATCCCTGTATGTGGTCGACACAGAGTGTTCCATGGCTGGCATTCCCTATGCAGATGCGTTCGTGGTAAATAATATTTGATCATATATTCAAATAGTGTATACTGGAAATATTCGCGACAGTTTATAGGACCTGTGGCTTTATGAGTCATTTTTGGCTTCATAAAAATATTATTATATAATAAAAATTAATATGAAAATGCGTGTAAATATCTCTCTTTGTAATGCTATATCTCCTAAATCAGTTGCCGAATGAATTTGAAATTTCATATTTGCATACTTCATTTACTCCAGATAACAAATATAACAACTAATTATAAATCCCTGATGAGGCTGGAAATGACCCTTAACGCCCCGAGTCTTAATGGCCTTCTTTGCCCTGCCCAATGAATTTATCATGAGAGTGAATTCTAGTACACATCAGGGATATAATAATTACAAATCAAGGGCAAAATTAACACTTGGCGAACTTTGTTTTTTTATCGGAAAAAGGACGAATATTTATCTGGGTGAAAGTTTCTTCGTATACACTATTTAATCTTTTGTTGTTCCCACCTTTTTTGGGCATGACCATGAATATCTAAATAATTTTGATAATGAGAACATGTAGCTGTTTATGACCTTTAATGAAAACAAGGAATTATTAGGGGCCGAAATTGAGATGGGGAAAAGTTGGATAAGTTTAAAACAACTTTAAAACAATTTTGATGTTACAAATGAAGTGATGTCATAAAAAGGATATTTACTTGCTGTTTCTAAAAATAGAAACATAAAGTCAATATCACAAATCTCTGACCTCCACGTAATTATGATTCAACCAATAAGGCTGTACGAAAAATTGTGTTGTCTAATATTTTATTTGTTACGTTACAGGTTGTCAACAGGTTCTGTATATCGCATGTGACACGTCATAAATCTCGGCTACGCATCACAACAGAGATCCGATACAAGAAATCAGTCTGGGGACTTGCCAAGAGTGAGTAAAAAGTTACCAATTATGGGCTATTGATGAGGTGAATATATGTTTATATGGACCTATATAGAAAATGATATTGACAGAGACAAAGTCGAGGTCAGTATCACCTTTTCAGGTCCATATAACTACACGTACCTTAATTGCTGTAATAGATGCTTAAAAAGGCTTTAATCATTAAAAAAGATGGAACGTATGAAAATTGTTCGGAGGAAATCTCTGCTTTTGACAGAAAGAATTGTGATATTTTGTGACAATTGAATTGATGTTATTAAAAGAATATTTACCTGCTGTTTCTAAAAACAGTAAAACAGAGACAATATCACAAATGGCCAACCTCCACGTGATTATGTTTCAACCAATTGTTGTACACTAATATAAGTCAATGTTTAAAAATAAACCTTCAGGTTTTCATACTAGGTGTGTATCTCTACAATTAAATTTCATCTATAACATTTGGGCATCACAACACGATATTAAAATTTATTTTACAACAAATATAAAACAAGTTATTCTAATTATATTAATCACTCTTGTTGGCCCAGATGATAGCGCACAGTCGGGTCTTCGTTTGGGAGTAAACCAGAGTACCCAGAGAAAACTCATGTGCGCTTCCCACCACATGATATTAACTTATTCACCCCTGAAATTTCTTAATGATCTATTTCGGCCTTTAAATTGGAAGAGTTCAAATGTGTCTTCAGGGGTGAATGAGTTAAGAGATACCTTGTTAAATCACCAGATATAAAACGAACTGATTGTTTGCATACACATTTACTCAGGCATGATAGAAAAGAATGGCTATCAGGGATCTGAAGACTTCTTCAAAACCCTGGACACGCACTTGAAGCGAGAGGTAGACAGTTTACAGGAGACCACTAAGGGATCGCAGACGCAGTCGCTGAAACGGAAACTCCGCAAACGACGGACACGCACCAACACAGCTAACATGGAAAACGCAACACTGAAGCCAAGCAAGCCCGGCATGTCTCGACATCTGTCTCTGATGGAAAACAAAAGCAAGCAATCACGTCATACGCCACAGGCAGTTCCCCCATCTCCTATACGATGTAAGTATATGACTATATGTACAGCTTGAAGTTCCCCAATTCATTCTCATTCACAATATACACATGTACTTGGTCTAAAGTCTCTTTCTCTCCTCTTCTTACGTGATATACAATTTGGCTTAACCCTTTCACCCCTAGGTAACTTTAGTAGACTCTATAGCTACCATACATTGATCTGGATGAGTCTATTATGGTCTATAGAGGTGAAAGGGTTAAGAGCCCAATCCCCAGTAAGTTATAAGTTTCTGCTTCATGAATAAGTTGTGAGTTATTGCTTTGATACATAAACAATTTGTAAGTTTCTGGTACTGTCAGAGCTTAATTTCCTGTTTAGAGTATACGTATTAGCCTGAAGGCAGTTTTTTTTCAAATATTGCTAGTCCATAAATTTATTTACAATTTCCTTTTAAATCCCGCTAATTAAACTAACCAAATGATTCATTCAATTAATGAGCTTCAGTAGATCTAGACCCCGTGACAGAATGTTTTTCACTCCCCAAAATAAGTTTTGGCTCTTTTGTTTTATTAGACAGATCTATTTGACATAAGTTTTGAAATTTAACTGCAGCCAAACTTTCCTGGTACACTGTTACCCAAGATATTGATTCAATTTTTGATGTATTTGATTATTTTCAGCTGTATCACAAAACAGAGAAGAAAAATTGATGAAACTAAATGCTGACACCTTAGTCAGAATAATCCTTGTTGTGTAAGTATTGATGACCGTACCCGAGACTAGGGGCCTGTTCGTTTATGCAGAACAACCTGTTTGGCCGTTTACTAATGTAACAAATTCAGGTATAAATCCTGGCGGACCTGCAAATGTTTATGCAGGTCTTGCAAGGCTTTGTCAAGGCCCACCCCAAAGCAGCATCAGATTACTATGTCCGACCTTATTTAATAAACGAACAAATGGTCCGACCAGTTTGACCGTTTAAACGAAAATGGTATTAACTATATATGGGGCCGTTTCTAATAATCAAAAAAGAACAGAATATGCCGCATGCCTGAGATAGTTTATAGCTTTTTCAATTTTTCACATTCTCTAGTGCTGATCAAAGTTGAGAGCATAATTTGTTTATGTTTGAAGTGTTTGGGTCAAATTATAATATGTTTTTGTAAATACTGGATCCAGTACAAGAGGGAAAATAAAATATATACCCATAGTATCAACACACATGGACAAAATATAGCTCAACGTTTGCAGACAGGAAAAGTATATCTCAAAACGTCAACAGACAAATACAAAATATACTGCAATATCTACAAAGACAAAATAAACCACAGCATTATTACACAAGGACAAAATATACCACGATGTTAGCATACAGAGGCAAAAAGTATTTAAAAACGTCAAAAGACCATGCTAAAATTATATACCACAGCATCAAAATAAAGCTCAATTCAATACTTCAAGACAAAATATACCACATTATCAATACACAAGGACAAAATATACAACATTATCAATACACAAACACAAAATATACAACATTATCAATATACAAGGACAAAATATACCACATTATCAATACACAAAGACAAAATATACCACATTATCAATACACCAAGACAAAATATACAACATTATCAATACACAAAGACAAAATATACAACATTATCAATACACAAGGACAAAATATACAACATTATCAATACACAAAGACAAAATATACCACATTATCAATACACAAGGACAAAATTTACCACATTATCACTACACAAAGACAAAATATACCACATTATCAATACACAAAGACAAAATATACCAAACGTCAACACACAACATCAAAATATTTGCTCTTACTGTTGATAGTTATCGTTCCACTTAAGTAAGTGATGACATGTGTCTTTATTTTCAGGCTCGTCTTATTGGTGGTATTTAATGCCATACTATTTTACAAACTCTGGTCCTTGGAGGGTTTTGCTACCATGTTGTACTCGCCTAACGCATCGCCCAATGTCGACCAAACAACGTAAGTTTGTAATACTGACAACACTTAGTTAAGCAGATATCCTACATCCCAACTCTACATACATTAAAATTTCCGGAGATCTTTCAATAAGTGTATAATTTATTTTGTGATATTCAGTATTGTTTTATAGAAATCTTGAGACATTAATGTCTTTTCAGAAACTTAAAGAGTCCGGAGTTGTTTTTAAAAAGCAAAAGTTTTTCAAAAGTCGAAAAAACTTGGTTTAATAATCCTTATTTATTTTATAGAAATCTGAAGACATCAATGTCTTTTAGAAATCTATAGAGTCCAGTAATGATTTAGATAGCTTTTGTTTTTCAAAGTCAAACTGAAATGTTGTGATAAACATTATCGTTTTATAGAAATCTGAAGACCTCAGTGTCTTTTTAGAAATCTGATGTATCCAGAGATGTTTCACAAACCATTATATATTTGTTTTCAGAAATTTGAAGTGTATAAATGTTTTATCTAATCTGTTTATTTTTCTGTAGTCCAAAATCTCAGGACGAGTGGGTGGGTGTTCTGAAACAGCAGCAGTACCTGTACGAACGTGAAATAGATAAATGGAAGGAAATCCTGTCCTCATCGATTACGCTCATTGATCAGGTACAATACAACCGGCCGAGACATCTTTGTTGTGGGGGGCACTAAATTTTCCTTAACCCTTTCACCCCTATGTTATAACTTTAGTAGACTCTACCATGCATTGATCTGGATGAGTCAATTATGGTCTACAGTGGTGAAAGGGTTAAGGATCCCTGTTGCACTGCTAGTGATTTGTCATAAAGGAGATCTCTCTCATTCCACATATCCATTGAGGGAGAATGTGTGTGACACGTGACTGAAACTTCTCCTCAATTTATCTTTACCTTTTTGTCTCACCGCCATGAAGTGGAAGCGAGACTAAAGTGTTGTTTTTCCATTAAGTAGTACATCTCGGCCCATGCATCAAATAATGATTGCATCCTACCTTTCATGGTTCGTTTACTTTGTCAGTATCTCCATCAACATTAAGTTTTGGCATTTAAGTTAGTCTCTCTGATATGTGCATTGATGGTCAAAGCGGGGCATAGGCGAGACACATCAATCAGCTGAATGGCTTGTATGGCATGTATCAAAATTACTCCAAAAGCATTCATTGATTCAGACACACCTGTTTTGATCATAACACGCACCCTGCAGTTGCTAGGAGATCAGTTGACCACAGGACGTAGATCTTGAGTTTTAGTGATATTGGGCTTGAATGAGGGAGTTTCAAGGAGAGTGGTAAATTTTGGTCAAAATGTGGGAGAGTTGACAGCTACGATTTTTCCTATATATAGTTACCTCCCCTTAGTATTTGTTTGGATATAACTGAAGCACAGCTGGTCAGGTCACTACTGTTGTCCATGTAGATAGCACAACAGGTTAGAATGGTAGTATATCAATCTGAAGTCCTGGGTTCAAACCCTGGTCTAGCCGTAATTGTTTTTTTACATTCCGAAAACTGTTGTTGATAGTATTTTGTTTCTTTCCTCTTTATTATTTCTCATAAAAGTCACGTAATTCGAGGTCAAGGTTTTTTTTCCAAAAATGGTTTATCAAAGCTTTATAGTCATTCCCAAACACATATTTTTAAAATCTGAATTATATATTTTGGCAGTGGTACAGTGAGCCTAAGATTACTTTTTGTTTGTAAACCATAATTGTATTTCATGAGTAAAAAGTGAATTTGTACTTTGCAAATATTTTTTATGAGATATATTTCTATTCAAATCATGAAGACTAGGATTCCTGTAATTTGAAAGTTGAGCCTAAAGTTTTGAATACAATTTTTTTATCCTGATATTTTTGGCAGTTTTCACAATCTCAAAAGAAAAGTGACTATTAATTTAAAAACATTCTCTTTCCAGATGAAATTGACATTAGTTGAATTGCGGAACAGTTTAGAAAGCAGACTCTCTACAAAAGACATGTATAAGATGCATGATACGTGATAATAACTCAACCTCTCATCCCCGGACCCACAATCACATATGGATTCATCCCTGATAGTAGTGTGCAGAAGGTAATTCTATGTCATTAAAGGGGTGACCAGAATTACAATTACCTGTGGATGGATGTTATGTGCAAAACATAATCACCCCTACCAACAGAAATGGACTGTTCCAATGGAAGGGGGATTCCACTACTGGTGAAGGGAGATTAAGGATGCGCTCCTTGTGATTATAAGGATGGTGACAGATTCTTCCACTTCAGAGAGAGGGTGGTTCTTCAGTTGTAATAAAGGGCATAGATTGATCCCTATAGTACCAATGGAGCAGGTCTGATGCCAACCTTTTTCAGGTTGACTATAGAGAGAAGTTGAGTCCATTACCAGCCTAGGGTAGAAAGGTTCCTGTGATGGGTTATTTTCCTGTGATAGTGTAGCTGTGTTATATTGTACTTCCTAGTAGGTTGTCATAGGAAACATGGCATAAAGATGACGTCATCTGAAATTTACATCAAGTTGATGTCTTCAATACTGACATCATTAGAAGGGTGACATCAGAGTCATTATCAATGTTATTATGAGATGACATGTTATTTGATGAACACTTGTGATTCAAGATAAGAATTTATTTAAGATTATTAAGATATTTTGATATGATGTCATAACATGCCATGCCCACAAACAAGTTTAACATCATGTGATCTGATGATGTCATATGATCAGTAAGTGTCATGCGATCTGATGACGTCTTGTGATTTGATGGTGGCATATGATCAGTAAGTGTCATGTGATATGATGACGTCATGTGATTTGATGGTGGCATATGATCAGTGAATGTCATGGCCATATAAAGTCATACATTTGGATGCTATGTGATCAAATGTCTTATATTTAATATGATGTCATGTGATTCAGAATGTCGGAGAATGTCATATGACATGGCGATGTCATATGACATTATTATCTAGTGATCATTCCAATAGAAGAAACGCTGCTATAGATAACACTATAGTAGATGGGCATGGCCTGGATCTTTGTTTGACTTAAGGCATTTACTGCTTCGTATTACTGAAACAATGATACTAGCCTGTCAGAGCTGTGGTATTCAAAGTATACATGAATATTTAATCTAGAAATATTTTTCAAACATTGAATTTTGTTACAAAAACTGCCTAAAATGATAATCAGGATAATTCCCGGACCTCAAAATACATGAAAATTAATTGTAAAATTTCGGATACTTTTAATCATATTTTGACGAGCTGTGTTAACCACATACTAAGCTAATAAAAGCCTTGTAAAAACTGAGCTTACGGGTCAATCATGAGGTTCTTTCATTTCAAGCCCTTTTTATGCATTTAGCTACAATGTAAAAATTGTTCATAAAACGTCGGGGATGGTTGTAAAAAAAAAAGGGAAACATATTTTTGGCTTCGTCGCATTCATCCCATTCATAAAACATGATCTCCTGGGTTTATATCGCTGCTTACAGTTAGTACGTCCAATACTTGTTGGTCATTTTTACATCAATGTACAATTTCGGTACGGTTACATTACACATAGTGAGTTAGTAGAAATGATCTTTAAGTGCCATGTACCATCTCGTCATACCATTGTGTTGTCTATCAGATTTTATTTCTCACAAAGTCAGTTAATTACCAGATGTACCTTCACAAGGATTTTGATTGTCAATTTATTTTTTGTTAGAGAATTTATATAGACAGATTGTGATAATTGTACTTAAATGGTTTTATTTAGTATTTGTGGTTTACCTATATACATGTTAACTTTCACTTTGCCAAATACTGTATACAGTGTTATTTTTGGTGTCTGTTATTTTCACTATACAGTGATGGCAAACTTGTTCTTGTAAAGTAGTTCCACATACTCCATAATCTCGAACTACAAACTCAAAACTGTTAAATTTGTTTGTGAAACAAGAAAATAATTTTTCATGAAATTATGTTGGTTAATTTGTAAACAATTCAAGTTTGACACTCTCAAATTGTCCTCAGGTGAAATTCATGCAAACAACATTTTTCGGTTTTGAGTCAGTTGATAATTTGGACTTGTTAAGTTTTCTTTCTTTTCATTTTTGGGAGAATTTCACTTTTGAATATTTTTATATGAAATTCATGTAAAGAAAACTTTGGTACTGATATTCACTTGAAATAATATGTGAACTGCCATTTTCTAAATGAAATTCACATGAATTTCGTGTGTGAATTTCACAGTGTGATGTTGTTGGGAATATATAGTTCTCATGAATTTTAAAAGATGACTTTTTGGCAATAAAGAACAATTACGGGAAGATTTAAATGTAAAATGATAACTTATGTTCTATCGTTAATCTCAAAAAGCTTACTTAATTCTTCACTCTTAATGTTTATATATGTACACTGTGTCTACTTAAATCATAGAATATGTGATTGTAACACATTGCATTAGATGAAGTAAATAAAACAAGCATTTTGACAAGGTCATACAAATGTTTATCATAATAACTTGCATTCTGTTTTTAACCTCAAAAAAATTACTTAATTTTACTGTCTATGTTTTCATAGGTACCTAGCTACTTAAAAACAGAAAGACAGAATATAAGGGAGATAACTGGTTAAGTATTGACAAAATGCATATATATATATATGTCAGTTTTTTTGCGTTTAGCTATATATACTAGTGCTTACAATTTAATGACTCAAAAACTTCTTTTAATATATATGTTTTCATAAAGATGCATCCTTGCAGATTTTCCACATTTTCATGATTATAATAATATTATATTCTTACATATTTAAAATGATCAAATATAAGAGGGAGAGTACAATTGATATAAATCCAATTTCTTGCGTTTAGTATCATAATCCTACCTTGATGAGTATTAAGCTGTACCATGGCCATATTGTTTCTATGTGGGGACACAGAAGGTTATTTATAGTAGACAGTGTATATTGTATACCTGCATAACCAGATAGAAATTATTTGACAGAAATTTTAACTTTGCTGAAGGCTCCGGCTAAGTATAAAAATAGTGTAATAAGTTTTCAGATACTTTCGTTTTTGTTTTTTTCAATTAACGTTATATACACTTCTTTTATACTTGGAAAATAACTTTTTATAATAATAACAGTTTCTATATTTACAAAAATATAGCCAAAAGTCAGCAAGCATACATGTTTAAAATAAGTATGATACTTGTGTTGTCAACAAATGGTTTAATTTTACATCCAATTTTAAGTCACAGAACGATAAAAGGTAAATTGAGTTACAACAAATATTTGAAATGTTTGTTATATACATGTATATTAAGATATATATATATGGGCATTTAAACATGATCCTTAGAATATAAACAGATTAAAGACCTTAGTGGTGTTTTCTGATTTGAAACTTAGCTAATTGCTATAAATTAAACCAGAAATGTTTGCCTGTCTTTGGTTTATGATTTATCAGTAATATAAAAGGATACTTGTCATAATAATCAGGGGTCGACACTAACACTAGTCCGCTAGTCCTGGAGTTTGGACTAGTAGAGTTCAGCAAGGACTAGTGAATCACCTAACCTAACTGGTCTTTTGGACTAATGATATTATAAAATAAGAATGTTCCTTTTTTTAAAATTTAGAAAATTGCTGAAAATAAGATATATTGCATGATAATTGTTAAACTTTTCCTAAAACTTCATCATATTTTTATGGCAGTAGTTATCTTAAGTCCCCTACAGTCGATTACTTCTGATGTTTCATGCTGAAGATTGCGAAGGATTAGTAAATAATCTATTCAACTAGTTCTGTGGACTACCAAGCAAAAATAGTAAGTGTCTTACCCAGTCATTACGATTATATTTGGTGTATCAATAATTAACACTTAAGGTGTCCACAGTGAAAACCTGATATATAGATATACGCATAAATGTCACTGACTAGGACCAAGCTGTAGGTCAGTTTACACAGGTTTCTAGATAATAGAGGTATTATATACAAACACTTGTAGATGCCACATACTGGAACCTAGCTAGTTGTAGGTCAGTTTACACAGGTTTCTAGATAATAGAGGTATAATATACAAACACTTATAGATGCCACAGACTGGAACCTAGCTAGTTGAAGGTCAGTTTAAACAGGTTTCTAGATAATGAAAGTTTAATATGCACAAAATTTCTAGAGTGGACCTCGTGGAAGGTTTTTTTTTGGCAGGTTTCAGGGCTTGTAGAGGGTTCAGTTTAGGACAGATTTCACTGTATCTATTCATTTACAAAAAACATGACATTACACTCACAGTGCAATATCATTTTAAACATTAAAGCCATGAGCAAGTTTAATTAAGGGCATTAGCGCTACTGTTCATATTATACTTATTTAGTGAGAGTGACCTCCCTTACAAAGGCGTAGCTGGACAGAATTTTATTTTCTGAATTTCCTGTCTGTCATCAATGACCATGTTCTCTTATTTAATTCTAATTTGTTGTTAATTAGTTAAATTAAATAGTAATACCATTCATAAAAAAATATCTTACATGTTTCTTAAAGTGGAACTCTTCTGTGTAGGAGGTTACTGTAGTAGTAGGATAGGATACGCCCCTTAAATAGGAGTAAGAGATATTTATCACTAAGCTCACAGGGTGATCCTTCAATTTGTTTTCATCACAAAATATTTTTTCTTTATAAAGATTTAAAAGATAAGGTCATACAGTTTATGTTTAGCATAGTTATGTAATACAAGTTGAATGCATGTTAACCCTTTCACCACTATAGACCATAATGGACTCATCCATATCAATGCATGGTAGAGTCTACTAAAGTTACATAGGGGTGAAAGGGTTAAACTAATCATATTGAAATTTTGACAAGAACATTTTATGTTGTTCTATATGAATCTGTTGCCTTTAAGTTAGTAGTGCTTCCATGCCACTTTTCAGACAGTTCAGACAAGGTAGAATCTCCCTGTATCATATCTTTGTACAGAGGGTAAAGACAGTATATTGAATTTATTGGTGTTTTTCATTTCAACAAATTTTATTGTTTAGAAAACAAATGGATTGGACAACAGGCAAGCTTATTTAACTCATTCACCCCTACAATTTCATAATGAACTATTCCAACCTTTGAATTGGAAGAGTTCAAATGTGTCTTCAGGGGTGAACGAGTTAATTCCTCTCCAATAAGAGGTGTTATCTATGTAACATAGTAGTTTCTGATACACAATTCGTGATTTGTGGCTGTAAATGTTGTAGTTAATTCTTGGTTAACTGAATACTTAACTGAAACTGAGTCAATAAATACACTGAATTACCCATCTTAATGTTATCCAAGAATACAGCCAAATGATCTTCAATGTAAAATGACAGTAGTTATCTCCCTTCACTAAAGTTAACTTTCAGATTTTATCTTAAAGATAGTAGTTCTCACATTTATTTCTGGGCCATTTGTGTATGTTTACGTTGACTGAAGTTCTTGTTGATCATACTGTTATAAGATCCTTAATCAATCTTTATTTTGTTCTTTTTTGCTTATAAAGAAAATGACTGCAAATTTTGATTTGTGCAATTATTGTAATGTATTATAGAGGTATGTGAATCATTTTATTAGACATTGTATTTTCCTTCGGATGATTCGATAGGAATACATTATACATGTAGTGTTAAAAAAATCTTTGCAATCATATTATCTGTTGAACTGATAGTTTTGAAGTGTTGTTTTGTTACTACTTTGAGAATGTTTTGTGTCAGCTGTCGTACCAACACATTAGACACTCACAAACCAACTAGTCATGTGCTACTGACTCAGCTAGAGGGAAGTTCATTTCTGTTCAATATGTAGCCAGAGTATTGGACTATTACCATATCTGTCTGCCAATAAGCCCATGCCTGGTAATATGCCCACCCATACCTCTTTAGCAGAATGACAATAAATGCTATATGACAGTCCAATCTTTGGTTATGTGTTTGACCCGTGGGCTTATTGCTTTTAACTGGATATGTATGTGTAAATNAGTGAGGAACTGTCCAATTAACTCATTCACCCCTGAAGACACATTTGAACTCTTCCAATTCAAAGGTTGGAATAGTTCATTATGAAATTTCAAGGGTGAATGCGTTAAATTCCACAGCACAACTAAGTACTAGATATAATATAGGGCACATAATTGGAAAGTATATTTTATTATTGTTATTATACAGGATTTACTTTATTCCTTGTGAACTACAGTTACCTGTTAGTTACCTGTATAAATCTGTCAATTGCCTGTATAAATTAATTACCTGTGAATTACGTTACCTGTAATCTGTATCTTACGGTATTACTGTTTACCGGGAATTTTTCGCTGCTGTTTAATTTTCACCTTTTTTCGTCCACTCTCATGAGGTAGAATTTATCATAACAGCAAACATTAGTAAACAACGTAATATACATAGTAATTAATTAAAGAGGACAAAATTAAAACATAGTAATTAATTAAAGAGGACAAAATTAAAACAGAACGACTGGATTTTACCGGCGAAGGGCTAAAATTTGACTAGCTGTAAATTTCCCGGTATAAAGTATAGTGTTGCCTTATGTAGTTAATATTTACCATAGAAAAAAGGATATCTGTTTTATAATCAGAAAAAATGATCAAACTGCTTTCAAATTCCTATTTATACAAGTGTCACAATATTTGGATGAAATAGGTATGTTGCTGTCTTTGAATTTTGTCAGACCACTCTGTTATGTCATCTGTTCTGTTTTGAGTTTGATTTGTAAATTTGAAATGTGTTGAGTTATTTCCTGAAAACAGGTTGTTGAAATAGTAAAGTTGTGTCATCTTCAGTCTATTGTCTTTAAGGGTATATGCTACATTTCACATTATGCCTGTGATGTGTGTTAGAGTTATCTCCCTTAGCCTTTTCACCATCATATACCATAATGGACTCATCCCTATAAATGCATGGTAGAGTCTACTAAAGTTACCTAGGGATGAAAGGGTTAAGAATATCAGCCTACTTACACATTATATCTGTGATGTGTGTTAGAGTTATCTCCCTTTGAACAGCATTATTTGATATAAATGAAGGGGTGAAATTCTTTAGAAAGAAGAAACATGTTCCAGTTGATGTAGCATATGTCTTTAAAACTGATGTATACAGTAACACTAACATTTATAAACATCACCATCCCAACATTGTTGTATTGTATCTTGGTGAGGAAAGTTTTTAATAATAGCCAGAAAAGTACATTTTTCAGGACTGAATTATCCTGATTGAGTTATATACTGATATATATTTGTTATAGAGAACTTTTTTTTATAAAATGTGATCGTTACATGGCTTCCATTTACAGACACACTTATTAAGTAAGTATTGACTCATTCACCCCTGAAGACACATTTGAACTCTTCCAATTCAGAAAAGTTCATTATGAAATTTCAGGGGTGAATGATGAGTTAATGTAATATCCAATATACAAAATGTGTTACTTAACTTTAATTCAGGATAAAGCGACATTCAATATCCTGTTTACTACATTTTGTACTTATAAAGTCTGAATTTCAGATACATGAAGAGTTGTGTTCAATTTCTGATATCTGCCACTCATAATGGATACCCTGTAGATTAATACCATATCTGTTATACATGTATCATTTCGACTGGATGCCAGGTAGTTTTATTTCTATGTCAAAATATTCATCATAAATTGACATTGTATTGTTAGAAATGAGGACAACCTTTTTTTTAAATTCCCTGTTCAGATTGATATGTGCGTTTCAATCTCATGTTTAACATACTGCCAGTTGGTTAGTGGAAGGCTCTTTATTTAATTTGCATATTGCTTATATTATTTCTCTACCATGGATGCAGGTGTTTTGTTTTGTTTGAAACAATTTAGCGAATGTTTACAAAAATTGTTATACATGCTGCTTTGAGGGACGTAAGATTTTTTTATTTTTTTTTATCCTGACCAAGATTTCCGAAACCGGATTAACTGAACAAAACAATGTTGATATTAATTTCATAATTAAATGCTGGTAGACCTTGAAATTTCATCTGAAAACATGACATACAAACGGACTTATACTGATTAAATTAGAAATTTAAGGATACAATTTAATTTGTCATGTGTTAAAAGGTGTGAGTATTGTACCTTGCACTACAAGGCAGAGGTGTTTTGACATACTGTAAAAATGGAAATTTTTGTGGTGTGAAAATGGTCACGTTTGTTGCGTATAGTAGATCAGTGCAAAAGATATCCACATGGGAATATTCGTTTATTGTTAATGGGTAAATAAAATATATAGATTTCAGAACCATTGAAAAATGCTCACACTATGATCATTTTATAGAGTAACAACTGGAATATTTCCACACACAAAAGTTTCCTCTTTTACAGTATATCAGCACATAGGTCTTTTCTGGAATTCGCAATATTTCAGAAATGTCATCAAAATAGGTACTGTCTTCTTTTTGTGTTTATTGTTATCAGATGGTCGTCAGTAATCCAGATATTTATGTTATAAATTTCATTAATTTTGAAAATAGTTTAAATATGAAAGATTTATACATTATTTTCAACCAAATATA